GCATCAGGGGCACAAGCAACAAACTTTGCAAGTTGCAAAGGGGCCGCTCCTGTGGCAGGCAGCAGCCGGGCAGCTCGTGCTCCGGGTGCTCCTTTCCGCCGCCAAGGCTGTGTGGAGATAGTGGGCTATAATCAAGGGAATCAAAAGGGGGCTGGGTTTCCCCCTCCTCTCCGGCTTTAGTGAAAGTGTTACCAAGTGAGTCAGGCGTCTGAGGATCATCTGACTGAACTTTCTTGAAAGCGACACACATTCTTGTCTGCGGGCAACTCGCTTTTTCTCTTTCCCCTCGCCCCGTTCCTCCTTTCCTCCTGCACACCTTATTTTCTGGGCAGAGAGTTCATCCTTCCCCTGTGGGAGAAAAGAGTCTGACTGTCCGCTCTGTGTTAGCTTGGTCCTGGCACGGTTCTTGCCAGGCATCTTGCTAGCCTAAGATCTGGAAGGTTGGATTTTTAGGTTCTTGTTTCTCTCTCTGTACATTTGCTTTCCTCGAACTGCCCGCTTCTCCTTTGCTTTTTAATAACTGCACAGAGCATTGTTTCTAAGCCATGTTCTTGACCAGCCTTTCAAACTCACACACTGCTTTCCACGTTTTATCTCCTTGTCGCCTTAGTCTATATATACACTGTTGACTTCATTAAAATTATATAAAGTGCCATTGTAGGTTTCTGGATGACCGTCTCTCTTTTTTCTCCCTTGCAGCTTCTACTTCTGTGATGATTATTGCCATTATTCCTTTCCAGGAATTTCTATATGATTTTGATAAGCATCATCATATTTAGCGTTATCAGCAAAGACACAAGCTCAAAAGTGACATCTTTTCCATGAATCCAAGAAGGAAGAAAAATCCACTCAGTTCAGATAAATCCTGGCAATTCCCAAAGGGAAAGGCATTGGATACATGTTTGATGAGAAAGAAATGAAAAGGGGGAGGAAAAACTCTTCTACCTGCTCCTCAAAGCCAGGACCTTTCTCAGTCCGATTAAACCCAATGAAAAATACTGACAAGTAACCAATTTACAGCATGTTTTCCCAGAGATTCTTTGGGGATAAAGACATGTAATAGTCAAAGTTAGAATAGCTATAAGCAATAGCCGGGCTTGATGTTCAGTGTGCAGGGGCTGGGATAAATGCCTTAAAACGTGCAATTCAACTTTCCACTTTGGAGTGTGGAAGCTTCTCCCAACCTGACGGCTGGGTGCAGGAGAAACGGTTTCTCAAGTCCAGGACTGAGCACCTCCCTGGTACACCATTCTACCAGTAAAGCCCCCTGACGGGCCTCCCACTCAGCTGGCACCCCCCAGGGGTTCCCAGGAAGCCAGAATCCCTCTACTTTCCCAGTCCTGAGCTCTGGCCTCACCACACTGCTGAAGCAAGACCAGTCATCGGTGGCAAAATCCCGAAGGGGGTGGAAAGAAGGCAGGGAGAACAGTCTTCCTTGCAAAAGAACACTTCTGGGAGCCTTGCTTTAAATCTCATTCTCTCTTTCTCTAAAAATGACTGTTTAACATAAGAAAAAAATGTCTCCTTGACACAAAGCTTTTGTTATCCAGTTGATCAGCAACGTGCTTTAGATACTTGTAAGAGGGGGGAAAACCCCACAACAGACATTGATTTTAGAAAATCAATAACCAACATTTAATAAAAGGAGCAGAGGAAACACGAGAGAGGAGAGGGGGACATTAGGTATAATTTTAATGTCTACTAAATTACCCAGAGATGGAGAAGGGGAGGTCTGCTGTGGAAAGACCACCTTAAATAATGCCAGACACCAGAATGAAGAAAAAAATTAGATTAAAAGATAGAGAGGGATGCACACTTAAAAAGCAGCAGCCTGAACTGAAAGCTTGGGGAAGCAGCTCCGAATCTATCATTGTACTTTTTTTTTTTTTTTTTTGTCATACTAAGCCAAGCAAATAGATCAAAGACAGCACAAAGAGGAAAGGCAGGATAACGTAACAAACAGTTTCTGTCTAAAATTCCTCTATCACTCCCCCATATGGCTCGACACCTCCACCACAACAAGCAAAAGACACACACACACACACACACACACACACACGAGAGAGAGAGAGAGAGAGAGAGAGAGAGAGAGAAGGGAGAGAGAGAGAAGCATCATTTGTCTCTAATCAAAATTCTCCCGTCTTTGTGTTCCTCTCCCTCCAGCACCCGCTCTGCGCCCCCAGTCGCCCCCTCCCCACGCCGCGCTGCGCCGCGCGGGGCCAGGCCGGGGCGCGCACCCTCGTCTTCCCCTGAGGAAAGTTGCTTCAAGTGGGCCCCGGCGGGCCCGGCCAGGAGAGGGCTGGGATTGCAGGAGGCCGGGAGGCCGAGCGGGCGCTGCGACCCCGCGCCCAGCTCGGGAGCGTCTACGCGGCCCCGCGCTGGGGGATCCGGCTGCGAGCGAAGGGAACGAGAAGTTTCCTTTCCGAGTCTGGGCTGGCGCGGGTTCTCGTGTTTGTTTTGGGGGGTTGGTTTTTTTTTTTCTTTTTAAACTCAGTATCCTCCGTCAGCTTCCCCCCCCCCCCCCCCGCACCCTCGCTCGTCCCCAGCCCTTTCCCCTCCCCCAGGCGCCTTCGGCGCTCTTGCCAATCACTTTTCTCTTTTATTCCCACGATTTTGTTTGGGGTAATACCTAGGGGGGTCTCTCTCGCTCGCTCGCTCTCTCTCTCGCTCTCTCGTAGCTTCTCTGGCTCGCTCCACGAGGGACCTACTAAACTGTCACCCGCCTTGCATCTCCCACCCCCAGTGTGTGTCTGTGTGTCCCCTTCGCACCCCCATCGCCTTCCTCCTTCCTGACTCAGCCTGGATAACGGGCTCCTCCTGGCCATGTACAGACTGCCCGGAAAAAGTCTCGCAGCGCCCTGCGACTCCCCCAGCCCCCAGCGCGGGGACCAGCGCCTGCGGGAGAGGAGCCCCCCCCACACCGTGCCCGACCCGCACCGACCCCGGACCCCGAGCAGGGCCGGCCGAGTCCCTCCCACCCCACCCTGGGGTCCGGGCGCGCCGGACCGGGCCCCGCTGCCCGCGGACCGTTACTTGGCGCACGGAGAGGCGGCCGGGCGACTCCGGCAAGAAACTTTAAGCCTCACTAAGACGAAGCCCCGGGTCCTCTCTTCCGCCCTTGCGGTCCCGCTGCCACCCTCGCCTCCGCCCCGGGATCCTGCGCGACCTGGCGCCCAAGCCCCCGCCCTGCCCTCGCCGGACACTCCCGCAGCCGGGCCGGGGACCCAGCGGGCCGGCCGAGCGCGAGCGGAGCGGGAGGCGGAGGCGGAGGGAGGGCGGAGGCGGGAGCGCGAAGGGGCGCGGGGCTGGGGGCGCGGGACTGCGGCCGGACCCCGGCGCTCGGAGCCCCCCGGGCGCCCGACGCTCACTTTGCCCCGCACTTCCCCAACTCCCCCCCGGGTCCGGCCGCCGCGCGCGCGCGCCGGGCTCCGGCGCCGGCCGCGGAGGGAGGCTCGCCCGCGAGCCCCGGGCGCAGCCGCCGCCGCCGCCTCGGTTCCTTTTCCCTTTCCCCCTCCTTCTCCCTGGGTCTGGAGCCGCGGAGTGGCCCGGAAAAGTTTGGTTCGGGCCGCTTCTTACCGTTTTTCCTCCTGGGATTGGCTTGTTTGCGCCTCTTGCACCGGGGGCCATCCGCCATGATCGGCTGCTTCATTGATAAGAGCGGATCAGATGGCAGTTCGCATGGACTCGGCGCCCTGCTTCGGCAGCACGCAGGCTCGATCTAGCAACCAAACACAGCGACAATGTGGGCATCGCCCGCGCCCATTGAAACGCGCGCGGGCCGCCCCGGGGAGCCGGGCCAGGGCCCCGGCGAGCACCCATCCGCGCCCCCCAACGCCAAAGCGAAACTTCGGCGGCCCCCTCCCCGCCCCCCGCCCCCAGCCGTGGCCCTGCGGCGCTTTGTGTTTGTTACTGTTTGGTGTGTTGCACCCGCGAGGGGATCACAGAGACAAGAATTACATCTTCGAAATGAGTCATAACTCCTGACCGTATGAGGGAATGCACACGGCGGTACAGTAAGACTGCCCGACCCAGGGCTAGGCGGACCCTTTGCTCCGAAAAGTGCTCAGCCCGGCTCGGGAACTTGGGGTGAGGCGAGGCTTTCTTTCGCTCTCATCTTTCCTCATTCTCTCCCACCGCCACCACCACCACCGCCACCGCCGCCACCACCGCCACCGCCACCGCCACCGCCACCGCCACCCCCCCGCCCCCCGCCGCCCCATTTCCCGAGAGGAAAGAAAGAAACAAACAAACAACGCGAAACAGCCCCTGGATGAAGAACACTCGGGCAAATTGATAATAGTAATTATAGGAAGCCCACTCGCCCCGCGCCCCCTCCCCTTCCCTCTCCTCTCAGAGTTCAGCAAGGCACCGTCTCTTCCTCCCCCAGCCCTCTGCCCCCAAATTAAGATTTCCCATTCTCCGCCGCAATAAGAAATATAATTATAAGCCTCTTTGGACACCGTCCCTCCCCCCCCCCACCCCGCCACTTTGACAATATTTGCTTAAGTATTTGCCCCCACCTCACTCGCACACATACTCCCCCACGCTGGTTCCCATAAATAGTTCCAGCAGAAATGTTGCTTTTTCTCCCCCCCCCCCCCCCAAGAAAGGAAAGAGAAAGTCCAACCAGCACGGCAAGACTTTTAAGCTGTCCTAAATGATCGTATCCTTTCTGGCTTCGAAACTTTTGTACCTAAAAATCGAGAGAGGCGCTGCATGTTTTCAGCTGAAACTGTCAAAACTTGGAGAAAGGGGACTCGGAGGCAGGCAGCAGAGGAGGAGAATCCTGAAACTCGGTGGAGGTTGGGAAGATGCTGTGCCTCCAGGATTAGTTTAAACAGGGGGCTATAAAAGATGTAACAGATGCAAACTGTAACACAAGGGCCATTAACCCTTTCTCTGCCGAGCACACTCGGTCCCCACGCCCCGCACCTATTGTCTCCTGTGCGAGCAGCTTTGCGGAAAACCTGGAAAGTGAGTATCAGTTTCCACACGTTTGCTGAGAGGGGAGGGGGGGTGCGGAGAGAAGGGGAAGTGGATGTTTCAGAAAGCACCTTAAATTTACCTAAGCATATACAGTAGGAGACGTTTCATTGAAGTTTGACACATTTTATCATTTCTTGCCTGTCCTGTTGAGTTGAAATTGGGGTGAGGGTGGGGGAGAGGAATCCTGAAATAAAGAAATGGTCACACAAGTGTCTGGGACCAAGCAGCTGGCCTGTCTGTATTCATGCTGAGACTTACACGCGATTGAATATAAATACATGTTTAATAAAGTAAGTTGTTAGCTTTATGAGCATGGGTGTGTGAGGGAGAGACAGGGCATTTGTGCTATAAACTTTATCTTTGCCTGTTATTCCTAACTCTGGAGTTAGCAATCATGCCCTCCTCATTACAGGAGGAGCATGTAAAATATATGAGAAGGTGGAAGATAAACACATTCATGTTCGCAGGGCTCACCACTCTTCCTGGGAACTCCTGCTATCTCTCCCTCGACTTTCCAGTGCCAAAGTGTAGAATGGGATATATGTGTGTATGTGTGTCTCCTATTAAATCTATGGCTATGAGACTTTGCCATTTAAAATACAATTTCAAAAGTTAGGCTTATTTAAAACCCAGATATCCTGAAGTACTTTTCTTCCCAGCTGTAGTGAGCCCCCCCCCTTCCACTTTGGTAAAGGACTCAAGTTCCATGAGGACTTTCACTTCTTTATTTATTATCACAGAAGTGAGGTGTTACTTCACACACATACACACACACAGAATGAAATAAAGAAATGAAACTCGCTAAGCAGACAAAAACAGGCAACTTTCTGCTTAGAAAACAGCCTTCCCCGGTGGGAGAGGCAGCACTGCCATGTCTAACAGCAAGACTGGCCCCCGAAATTTGGTAGGTTTGCATCGATCAAGTTTTGTAATTATTAACAGGTATTTGCCAAGTTTTAATTACTGACTATAATGATTTGGAAGTAGATGCAAAAATACAGCAGAAGCTTTCCCTTGGACGAGTTTTTATTTCAGCCATACAGTTCCCCAAAAAAACTTTTCCTAGGCAGGGTAGCAAAAGGCACCTTTGGTTACCTGAATGGACAGGTACAGGGCAAATTATTTTGGGCGGGGGACAAAAAGGAGAGAAAAGGAAGGAGACTGAGCGAGAGTGTGAGAGAAAAAGCGAGGAAGCCACTCTTGGGAAAAGCACGCCATAAAAGACTTCACCCACCTGAAATTCCTACCCACAGACACCCCTCTCACTTCACACTCACATCCCCACTCAAAATGAGAGCATTAGAAAGGAGGATGGGTGACGAGCACACCAAAAAAAGGATAAAAAGAGGGGAAAAAAGGAGGGGAAAAAAACCTACCTGCGAAGTCTTGTTTGTAGTTTTGGCCAGAAATGGTGAGAAGAAAAAGCATGAAGAAGCCGCGAAGTGTGGGGGAGAAAAAGGTGGAAGCGAAGAAACAGCTCCCGGAGTAAACTGCACAAAACCTCGCCAAGAGTGTCGGGAGGCAGGACCGTTATTCCTGCGGAGCAGGTTAGAACTGATCTCTTTCGGCCACTCCAGGAAACACAAACCTGGGGACGGACTGACGTGTTACGCCTCTTCTAATGACATTTTTTTCTTTTTCTTTTCTGTAGGAGAGAGAGGAGAGACCCTGAAACACGCGCCACCTATCTTTGTGGGGAGGGATAATTGAAGCGCCCTGAGCGTGAGCATCATGTGAAAACGTGATCGCCAAGTTTCTCTCTGGGAAAGGATCTGGGATAGATTATACCTTGAAGTCTCCGCAAACGCTTTAGTGGAAGAAATGAAATTCCACCTCCCTCCCTTCCTCTCTCCCTCCCTCTCGCCTCCCTCCCTCCCTCCCTCCCTTCTCCACGCCCCCCCCCCCCCCCAGCCTTTGGCATCATTATCCTCATCACTAAATCCTACAGAGTACAGGGCGGAAAACGGTGCACACCATTCACAGAACTGGAGAACTCCGAGGGGCGAAAGTTAAAGGGAAAGATCCCGGGTCCTCAATCTATATTGCCTCTTCTTGTGCAGATAGCTTAAGTGACCAGATTTGAGATGCACATCTAATAGCATGAGTATCTTAGCACGGCTTTATCCTTTCTCTTAAATTAAAAAAAAAAAAAAAAAAAAAAAAAGCCAGAGCTAGGGGGAGAAATGCTGTATGTGAACTGAATCTTAGGGGGTGTGTGTGTGTATGTGTGTGTGTGATTGGGATTGGAACCCAATATTTAAAAGTAGTTTGGCATTTTAATGAAGGGTCTCTAAGTAAATTAACATAGAGCACTGGGTTGACTGATCTTTGAGTCTCTCTACATCTCACCGAGACCTTACTACAAAGTGAGAGAGTGTGTGTAGGGAGGAAGGAGGAAAAAGAGAAAGGCCATAGAGGAACTTAGCAGGGAAGGGAGAGCGGGATATTAAACGACATGGGGTCTGAGTTTTGGAGTACTTTTTTTTGATATTGCAATTAAAGTAAAATTAAAAAGAAAAGACTCCACCTTTGCTCTGAAGGGATTGGTTATGCAAATATGGAAGGGATTTCCTGGAGAATACAGCTTTCTACTGTATGGTTAATTAAATAATCACTCAAAAGCTTCCAACGTGACGCTTCTGTCGTAATCCAATCAGGTTACATAGGTCCTAAACAAGAAAGATATTTTCCACATCTGGAAGTCAGCAATTTAGCAAGTACTGCACATTATTAACCAATTCAGAGCCCACTTCCCAGGGGAATTTTTTTTTTGAAGTTTAAGTGTTCTTAACCAATGCTCTGCTGTTTTGTTCATCAAAAAGCTGGTTTACACTGCACATAATTGGAACTAATATAGAAGTAAATAAAGACAGCCAAATTTGAGGATGCTGCACACAAGCATTTATCGGAAAAGGAAGAAATCTCTTAGCCTCCGATGGTTCAGGCTCAATTTCTTAAAGTCCTGGGAGGCTTTTTTTTTTTTTTTTTTAAGAGTGAAAGTACTTTAGAACCTCAAAGCACAAATAAACTTCCAATCCCACATATTTTGGGCTTCCTTAGAAAAGTAAGGTGAAGGTGGGAAGAGCACACAGAGCTGTCTCACACCAATTTTTCCGCTGTTAATACTGTTCAATATGTTACAGCCCTCTGTTTTCAGTCTGATGAAATCTGAAACAAATAATACCCTGATCCAACACTAGACTTTTACTTATATTAAGATAAACTGCTTTGAACTGTGCTTTGAATGTGTGCCTAAAGCAAGACTTTGAATGCAAGAGTCACTAGCAATTGCACTCAAAAGAGGGAAAAGCCACCACATGGGTTGCCACATCCACACTCCCAGAGGTATTTTGTATGTTGTATGTTTTGTATTCCGTATATTTATTTATTGAGTGCGTGTGTGGGGTGTGTATGGGGAGGGGGGAGAGTAATAACCACCCAGCATGACCACAGTTAGAGCTTGTTCCAGGTTGCAAAAAAGTCAATTTTCTCAGGCTCACCTCTTTCCCAATTTGAGTCTATTACAAAGAGAATAGTTGGATAAATGAGTCTCTTCCCATCCCCATAACAGATAAAGTATTTCCTACAAAAGAGGAATATTCAAGATCCGCAGTCTAAAAACAATTTAGTAGTCAAGAAAAAGATTTCCAACATGGGTCAGATACATTCTTAATTTTATATTTTACATTTATCTTGCCATTATATATCTAAACTAAATATACCTATGACTTATCAAGTTCCTCCTCTGAGATTTATCACCACTGTGAATATCTTCCTCCTCCTCTCTCTCTCATTTTTTATTTAGAAAATTGGAATCTGGATTTCTCTGGAAGTTTGCTTCTCAGCTGCCCTACTCCAGTGCTGGAGAAAGCAGGAGCCCATTGCCCACAGTTCAGGCAAAGCTCCCCTCCAGGAGCCCAGGTAGCTACTGGAAGCCTACAGCCCAGATACACAGAAGCATCACCTCAGGTCAAAGGATCCAATCGAATAGCTAACAAAACACTTGTCTTTATTATGTATATTAAATGTCAGGTTACTTAGGATCTGACATTAAAAAAAAAAAAAGACCATTAAAAGCACCTAATCATCTGATTACCCCGGGCTCAGTAATCGTTGGAGTGGCAGGAGGCAGCCCCCAACATTTAACACAGGGAGTTCCGATACACAAATATTTGATGGGGTTTAAACAAGGGAAGGGACACCAATAGTTCAGGTTTCCATCCAGGTGGACCCTTGGATCATGGCACGAGAAGGGTCCCTGTGAGGGCTGAGCGCGCAGCTAGGTTGCCCACCGCCCCTACTTGGCACGCCCCTCCCCAGGCGTTTGGCCGAGAGAGTTCCCAGCAGCGCAGATGCGTTGGGACCGGAGGAAGCCCGCATATAAATTTGTTCGGAACACTCAGTCCGAGGGCCAGGTCGGGGACAATAGGGATCGTGGGATCAGCGGGATGCAGGAGCGCAGGACGCAGGGAAAAGTCGAGAGAGGACTGGGGGCTGCTGGCTTTGGGCTCCTCCCGCAGGAAAACAAGTCCTGCAAATGAACTGCTCCTTTCTGGTCTTGTCTTCCCCATGAATAATCCACTCCGAGATCAGCGCGGAGGAAGGGGATTAAAACAACAGATACATACATGCAAATGTGAAATACTACTGCAGTCGACGTTGGAGGGGAGAAAACAATTCCTTAGGGTTTCCTTGGGTAAGACAAATTGCCTCCCTCAGGATTCCCTCCACTCAGGCAGGGTGAGAAGGATGCACTTTTGTTTTCCAGTTCCCGGCAGCCAGGACCCTGTGCCTGTCCCCCCATTCACCTCTCAGTCTGTCAATTTCCTCAACTTTCACAGCCGCTCCCCGCCCCCCGCTCCGCTCGCCCTCCCCAGATGCCCGGGGAGATACAATGTTTCTGCCCTTGAACACGCAGGCTGCAGAAGGAATTCGAATTTGGCCACAGCTAATTTTTTTTTTAAAAAGCAAATTTTGTTTATTTTGTACAATGTAGAGAAAATAAGAAGAGGAAGAAGGAACCAGTTCTCGTTTAGAGACGGAATTGATCTTTCTTTTGGAGGGATTCTTTCGACCCTGTGTGGTTACGCGGGAGGTGGACAACTTCTTTTTAGAGTTGCAAGCCAAGGATGATAAGAGAGACCCCAGGATCGTGTGTGTGTGTGTGTGTGTGTGTGTGTGTGTGGTGTGTGTGTGTGAAGAGATGAGGGACGGCAGGGGTCCAAGCCGAGCCAAACGGTTTTCTCACGTGCAAACTCGCAATCCAATCCATTCGGAGTTGAGCCTAGGATAGGAGGGGAAAGTCTATTTTAAAAAAAATCCAGGAGCATCTCTCTGCGAAGCCCTTTGAAACAGAACCAAAACAGGACCAGAGAACCTCAGACCGTCCCTAACGTCCCTGCTGGGAGGCCCGCGGGCTGTGGAATCTCGCACGTCACCTGGCCCCAGCAGGACGGCCAGCTCAGGGCTTTATTTTATTTTTATTTTATTTTGTTATTATTTTCATTAATTTTTTTGAAGTCAGGGCTGCATTTCGGCTTCGGGGCTTTTGCCAACGTCGCCACTGACAGGAACCAGCAAACTTCAGGACCCAAATGAGCATCTTAATTTATTGATGCAAAACAGGTCTGCTTGTTGTCCCCAATTCTCGGCGCGCTCTGCCTCCCTCCCCCGCCCCGAGCTTCGGTCCCTCCATTTGATCTCGGGGACAGGCCCAGCAGCACAGGCGGAGGAGCACGTGGGGGGTGGGACCCCTCCCGCCGCCCGCCCCCGGACCCGTCCCCGCCCGGGCACCCCGCGACCCCCGCCCGGCCGCCCGGTCAGCTGACCTGGCCCGCTCGCCGGCTCCCCGCCCGCCGCCCCGTTTCCGGTCCCCGGGGTCCGCGAGCCGCGCTCCGAGCCCGAGCCGCGGCGGCCGGGAGGTGATGCTGGGGGCTGATTACCATGAGAAAGGCTGTGCCTGGAAAAGCCTCCTCCACGCGACTGTCAGTCTCCCCTAGCGGGGGCGGGGGGCGGCTTGGGGCCCTGTAGGAGTCACCAGAAAACTTGGAGTAAGTTGGATGCGACGCAGGCCCGGGGAGGTGGCTTTCGCCGCAACTTGGAAGGCTGGGGCGTTAAGGGCGCGGACGCCAGCAGCCTCGTCAGGGAATTGAAAACCAAAAACCTCCCTCCCACCCTTCCTCCCTCCTGCCCTCCTTTCAGCCCTCCCTGGCCTTTCTCCTCCTTTTCTTGAAATTCTTTCCCAATTGGCATTTCCTACACTCTTCTTTCTTTCTCTGTGGTGTCTCCCTGTTGCAATCCCTTGTTTTCTCGAGCGGTCCCTCTTCTCGCTGTGGCTCCTTTCGTGCCGCCTGTCTATGTCCAGAGTTATCATTTCGTTGGGAAGACACGATGTTTAATATGCAATTAATCTACCAGCAGGAGAGCAGGGACGCCTCGACTGAAATAACTCCCGGGGTCTCCGAGAGTCTAAGTTCACCAGGTGTCAGTGAAAAGTCAAATACGAGAATACAAATAAATCAACATTTCAGTGGTCCTAATGGCTTATAATTTTCTGCGGTATCAGCTCAGACTGATTTCTTATTTCAGAAACGATATAATCTTAAAACTATGAATAAATAATATTTGGCATATGGAAATTCTTTAGAATTCAGGCAAAGTGAAATCTTTCTTGTTTGTACTGATATTTTCGTAGTGCTTAACAACAGACTTCAGAAAGCACAGGAGGTAAGTTTAAGACACTGAAGCTGTGCTTTTTCTTTTAGTGACTAAGAAGTGTAAAAAATTCCCAAAGCACTCTTCCCCACCCTCCAACAAAGTGATGAATTCAGAGAGACCCTTCACGTCAAGTATTTTGTACGTGGCTGCCCACATTGGCAACTTGAGTAGCTGGGTCTTTTTCTTGGCGAGGTTGCTGTCCATTATCACAGCTGAGTGAGTGAAACTGAGGCTTCATGTATCCTGAGTGTGGCTGCAAGTTTTATTTTCATTATTGTAATAATTATTGTTCTGTCTGTCACTTTGGACACATTCGTTGCTCTCATTAAAAATCAGAGTTTGCACTTGTTTATAATTTGTTTATTTTATAGAACTTTTAAAACTTGTTGGAAGTCAATTGAACATGTATATTAAGCCCTTTTTAGGCCAAGAAAAATAAGGATGCAT